GTCATGAATTTTTTCAACATTTTCATGTGTTCGGGCCGTGGAAGGACGACCAGAACGAGGTTTGTCATCAATTGACATTTCACCATTTTTGAAATGGGAAAACCACTCAAACACTTGAGTTTTCCCAATAGCATCGTCGTTGTACGCCATTTTTAACATTTCAAGAGTTTCTGTTCCACTTTTCCCCAGCAAAAAGCAGAATTTCACTGCTGCACGCTCTTCCCGAAAATCAGCCATTGCAAAAACGACGATCACACAAAACAGTTGTCACTATAAACTCTGCCGAAACTAGTCCTTACCTTCTGAAGCAACGGTAGTTGGCTTATACACTCAGGAATGTTAGCTCTATGCGCTCATAGCGGCAAAATGCGGTACTACAAAAGCTCTGCCCACAAAAAAATTAGTTCGGTTTCTTTTGGGTACCCCATCGTAAGTAATATAAACTATTGTCACACATGATTGAGTGACTATAGACAGGGTTTGGATTGATAATTGAACTTACTGAACACTTGAAGATTGTGACTGCAATTAACTATAGTGCTCTTGCTAATTCACACACTTTGCAATTCGTTACAGTTCAAGCTCTCTGTGTCATCACCCACCTGGTAACTGCTTTCAACAACATAGCTCCCTCAGCTTTCATGTTCACATTCTTAATGGCCAGTGACTCTGTCACAACTAACTCGGCATTGCTACGCGATGACTTAAAACAATGGGCCTCCCATGCCTTCACCATGGGTGACTGTCTCACAGTAGCCTCAGACACGAGCTGGTCTCTCTGGCTGCAGACTCTGTCTTGACTCTCAACTCAAACTGACTGGCTTGAGTCTGAGTCTTATGTTATGACTGATGGTCAGTCGGCCAGTCTATCTTGGGATAATGCACCCATCAGGGGCTTATGACCAGATTTTTATTACTGTCAGAAAGTTGCTGGTTTGTTGATGTGGGATGCTCTCTCTGACGAGAAGACGCATGTGTCATTTAAATTGCTGCTGGCCCTCACCAGTGCAATAATTCTTGGGTCCAACCATATTTTACTGTCTCATAATTAAGACTTCCCTTTTTGTTGTCTCCTATGACTCACAGGGCTATGATGGAGGTATTTGAACCTGCCTTCACATGGAATTCAATTTGATTCGTTTTCTGTTGATGTGGGTGATGTGTTTCACTGTAGCGCATTGTATGCCTGGTGATGGACCGCATGGTAACTTCTTCCTGCGGCTCTTCTGTTTTTGCAAGGTGTCACAACTTTTGCAGAGATGGTGTTTATTGAGACACTCCATAGCAACGGCCATCTCCCTAGCTCTGTTATTTTGCCTTTCAGGCTTCATGTCACACTCTGTTTAATACTCTGAGATCATCTCCTAAACTCAGTTCTGCATTTTGGATATCACATTTCAGCCCTGATATGGACATAGCCCAATTGGAATCAAGGAAAATAAAAGTAAACCTGATTTGTATAAAAGGGCCTCGGCCAATATTTCCTTCATTCAGAAAACTATATTCGAGTGAATGTTGGACTTAATCTGGCAGTTGTGGAAATGTAACAAAACAAATTGCATTTGACAGGGTGTCCATGTGTGAAAATAAATGGAACTCAGAATCTTACAGGTTATTCTGATGACAAAGCCCGGCAAGTACCCTGCCTCTAGGAGTTGTGGCACCTCTAACTAATAAACATAATTATGATATTGCATATCAATAAAACCCCCTCGTTGGTGTCTCCACCTTATCGTGGTGAGGGGGTTTGAGTATGCCAAGGACCCTGAGAGCTATACCAGTGGTAGCATAGCTACTGGCAGGGCCTCCCTTGCTGGACAGGTCAAAGGGTAGGCATCAGATGAAGAGAGANACCAAAAACTGATGCCGGAAGCAGCGTCATCAGCAGCGACTTGAAGCACAGAGCAAATGATGCTCGAGATGGTTCAAGTTCGTATAGCAACAGGCGTGACCAGAGTGGTTTGAATGGCTGTTGTACTGCGATGTGGAAGGCAAATGGAAAAACTACCACATTATCACTTTTCCTGGATAGTCTCTTTCCAAAACAGAGATACCATGAATGCAAGATTAAACTGGAGGGGCGGATAGAAGTGACTAGAAGATGTAAGAAGATGCTGGATGACTTTGGGGATAGAAGAGGATATTTTTATTTGAAGGAGAAAGTTGAGATTGCATTAAGTGGAGGGACTGTTTTGGAAGAGACTGTGGACCTATTGTCTGACAGATTACTGATGAATGAATGAATATCAATAAAATCTAATGATTGAACAGTTTTGTTTGTTCTCACGTAACAGTTCTCCTTGGAACATAATTAAGGACCTAGCGTGGAAAGTATTACCAACAAAAAGTAAGTACAGGTAGCATTTTGGACTGGAAAACATGAATCCTAATATTCCATGAAAAACAGCCGCTTTATTGACCAGCTGAGTACCTGTTAGCTTCTCAAGAAAGACCCTTCTCCACAGAGTTTAATACAAAATATTTAGTCACCTATATATTTCTATCTGTAGTAGATTTTAAACTGTAATTCAATTTTTAAAGCCATGTTTTAATAATTCATAATTCTGGTTACTTCTCTCCTACACCAACACCAATAAAGCTGACTATATTTAAAAAAAAAAATAGTGTTTATTCTCAGAATTCTTGCATATTTATTTGTTAAGAGTTGGGAACACTTTATAGAAATCAAATATGATAATTCAATAAATTATGATGAATTTTTGACCCAGTACATGTCTGTATAAATATACTTTAAGTGAGAGCAATACAAACAGGTTATACAGTATGGTTCTTTAATATGAGGAGTGGTCACTGCTAAACTGCACTTTTACTCTATGTTCTTTGAAGTGCATCATATGTTTTAGGATTCGGATCCAAGAGTTACAGGACTTGCAGCCTCGAGCCAGGTAGAAATAACAATAATACCAGATTTGGTAACCTCGACTCCAGCATCTCCTGTCTTCAAAGAGCCAATTCATATTCTGGATATAAGAGATGTAAGATTTACAAAAGTGTGAAACTAGTAATATTAATATATAAAAGGTGTGGATCCTATAGAATACAACATAGGAGAAGGAGAATGATAGTATGTGTGATGTATCGAATTTTTTAATCTTTGCAATAAGAGTGCAGTAGCGTCAACATGAAGCTCTAGTGGGAGAAGAAGAGAAATCTTAAAGAAATTTAGTTGATGAAAATGGATTCTCGGACATGTGAGAAATGTAAACGATAGTAATAACAATAAAGTAGATATTTGATAAATACATAAGATTTGAGGTTTTCACGGCAGTGACTATGAAGAAAGCAGTCTTCTGGGATGTGTCACCGTGTAGATGTGGTGTTAACCGACGTTTCAGAGGAACGCATCTCCTCCATCTTCAGGGTAGAAAGAAAAATAAGAAAATCCACAAGNCATGTAGACTTGTCCCCTTCCTTCCCTGCTCTCATATAGCTGAGTTTATTTCCAACATTAGTCTGCTTGAACCTGTTCTCGCTGTCTCTTCGCTTGCAGATTTTCTTATTTTTCCTTCTACCCTGAAGATGGAGGCGATACGTTCCTCCGAAACATCGGTTAACACCACATCTACATGGTGCCACATCCCAGAAGACTGCTTTCTTCATTTGATAAATAGGTTGTGAAGCTAAGAATTTGGTTCAGTTGGCTAAAAAAAAAGGTAAAACTATCCCTGTAATGGGCTGTGGAGGCCCATAAGAATGTGAGCTGTAGAGGCTCCCTCATTTTCTAGACAGTTGGCTCACAGATAGCAGTTAGGTAGTCCATTGACTGGCCACCCTTTCCCCCCAGGAAAATACCTGGTACTCATTTCTGTTAAGAGGCTGAGTCAACTCCAGGGCCATAGTGCAGCTGGCAGGATTAGGTCAATCGAAAAATCCAGTGACCTCACTTGAAATCAAACCTGCAACCTTCCGGCTTGTAGCATAGTGCCTCAACCAACTATGCTACCGCATGACTCAGAATTGATTCAGGTTGATGTATAATTGCTGGCAGTTCCTTCGGTTTTCTGATTTTTATTCCTGTTACAGAATATGTTCAGATTTTCAATAAAAATACTTTTTTATTCAGTGCCATGATAACTGGCTGAAATAAATTTTATGCAGTTACATTAATAGATCAGCAGTTATTCTTGTATAACCTTGAATTGCCCTTTGGTCACTACTTTTCTAACATCAATCAGAATATGCCTTCCTGCCCTCATGAAATTGTTGTTACTTAATAACAGTGTAAAAATAAGACCCAAATTCATGTCTTATCACTTCTCTTTTTTCAAAGACGAAATAACTCTGTCCAGTGTGACTATTTAAGTTTTTACAACTTGAAAACTTAGTACCCTTACATGTTTCGGTCCTTATGGACCATCTTCAGAAGGAACATCGATACTTATTTGGAAACTACTATCACAATATGTTTTCTGAGTGCTAAGATACATGTACATATAATGCATAGAATGCACAATATACATAAAATCCAACTTTTCCATAATCACAGCAGCTTTTCTGGTATATTAAAGTTTTTAAAACTTTGTTGTTTAATTTAAAATTTATAAACCAAGTAGGTTCATGTCCATTCTTCTATTGTCTTTCTTGATGGGTGCTGAACTAGTGCCGCCTGTTTATCTTGAGATTCTTGGTATCGTCCTGTATTTGTTCGTGGCTTGCTGTGTTGTTTTTACTGTCCAAATAAGTATCGGATGTTCCCTATGAAGATGGTCCATGAGGACCGAAACATGTAAGGGTACTAAGTTTTCAAGTAGTAAAAACTTAAATAGTCACACTGGACAGAGTTATTTTGTCTTTGTAATTGATATGTGATGGACCAGAATGAAACAAATCAAATTTTTCTTTTTTCAGTTCATACAGTTGCTTCTTATTATACTGGTCATTCTGGCCACAATAATGTGTGCAACATATATTTATATTTTTCAAAATTTTCATCTGTTTGTTAATGTTGTTAGTAGTTAGAATAATTATCTGGGGTAATTCAGCTGACAGTAAAAAGGTATTTACATTGCAAAAGAAAATTGTTAGAATCATGATGGGTGTCAAATACCGTAATTCCTGTAGAGAGATATTTAAGAGACTACAGATCTTAACTTTGCCTTGTGAGTATATATATTCATTAATAAACTTCATTACAAATAATGAAGAACATTTTCAGATGAATGAGGATGTACAGTGTTAACACAAGACACAAACACTGTCTTCATAAACCAACTGCTAACCTCTCATGCTTTCAGAAAAGTGCATATTATGCTGGGATCAGAATTTTTAATAACCTGCTATCTGATCTCAAATGTCTTATGATTGAAAAGGCACGATTTAAAATAGTACTGAAACTATGCTCAAATACACACTCATTCTACTCTGTTGATGAATACTTATTGTCTAGAAAATACTTATATATCTTTAAATAGCCTTGTTGATTCATTCATTCATTTATTTTTCGTTCCATGGATCCACAATACAAGTGAGATATAGGACATGTCCATACAGTGATTATTCTTAAAATTAATAGAGCAAGAACTAAGTACATAAATAAAAAAGTATAAAATACAAAAATTGAAACAAAACATGTAGAATCAAATAGATTCCAGTCATATAAGTTAATTTAATGAAACATGCAGTTTAAATTTAAACAATGTCAGTTTGAACATATCACAGAAATTGCTTAAATGACTAGACTAGAATAATAGAATAATGACTAGAATAATACTAATAAAAGACTGGATGATCAACAGGTGATTCTAGTGAATGCATAATCNTATGTTTTGTATTTATATGACATATTCCACATCCTGCAGTCATTTTGACTAACTTTGGATTCATGGAATGCAATGCAATGTTATATTATGTTAGTAATTAGGTAACTAATGAATATTCACAATTAAGCATACAATTGCTCAAGGCCACCTCCTTAAAATAACTTAACTCAATTTTTTTTACCATTATATAATTGTTTTGCATCATTATAATATCTTCACTACATTCTATGTTATATTAGTTGGATCATTTAATTGATCATAATAAATATGAATTCTCATACAATTAATTTTACTAGATTTTAAATTACATATTCATTATTAAATCTATAATATTAAAAATCCACATACAGATGATGATAAATTGATTGGCAAATCAATTTCTGCTTTCAGTATACTTCTGTTTAATCACATTCATATAAATTTTGTTTTACATAATTAACATTGCTTTGATTAGGGAAAATCACATACACCGAATTGCAGTAGAATTTATAAAATCAGTCATATGAAGGACAATTAGTATACTTTGTAATATTTTATACTTTCTTTTGAGTTAAAGAAAGATGGGCCATGAAGTTGGCACTTTAATTCCTTCTCATATACTAGTCTAAGAATGCATTTAGTTTATGTTTTCTGTATGTTGCTGGCAGTTGGTATCTATGGTTACCGTAAAATACAACCTAAATTTAAGTTATATTTATGGTAAATATTTAATTCTAGTCAGTAATTTAAAAGCTGACAATTTTGGCTAGGTGAGTGGTTAGCTGCATACCCAAGGTGCTTTTCAACCAAGAAATGTTCCTCCATACCTACTATTGAATGGGTGGCTGGGTGGAACCCAGAGCAAGTCTGGATACAGTGAGAAGAGAAAAATCTCTGCTCCTGCCAGGAACAACTGTGATTCTCTTGACTGTAATTCCCACTGACAAATTTGCTGAATTATAACAATGTAGTTGCTGTTCTGTACTTGAAAATCAATTTTTTTGGGACAGTGGAAGGTTCTTCTTGCACACATCTGTAATACAGGTGCTCCAAAGTAATAAAGGCATTACAATTTTCTGAACATATTTTCTTTCATTTGTACAGGAAGAAAATATTGGGCCAATACAGGCAACCTTAATAGAAGGTTATAAAACAGAAATTGATGTGGAACTTGTGTATTCGAATGGTGAACGTAAGTTATTTACTACTATATTAACATAATCTAAGTAGTTACTTGATCAGCAGTGTGAATTATTGGAAAGTAGTGCAAGGGAAGAAATGATTTGCATTTAATGTGCATTACATTTTAGATCAGCTTATTTGGAACAAAATGGATTATATGAACTCGTCATAAATTGTGATATGTTAGCTAACAAATTTTCAAATTGTCTTAAAAGATTCAGCATCTGATGAAGTTCAGAACTAATATTACTTGTAAATACTGTACGGAAGGCCTGAAATAAATAAATGAAAGAAAGAAGGCAAATGAGTAAATAAGAACATCAGAAAATAGTTCAAATTATGAAAGTCACTGTTTGTATGATGTCCTCCTAAAAGACAGGAAGAAATATAAAATAGTCTGTCAGTACTGCTGATCTGATCTAATATATTTTCAGTGTGTAAGTCATTAATTAGGTGAAAATTATAAAGAAAACACCTCTTCAATTTTTCTAATTCTTCGAGGATTTTTTCCTGAAAGGTATAGGTGAAATATTTGATCAGTATCACATTGTAAAATAATTAAATGTTTATCCTGTTTAAATGCATATGAATACAAAAATTTTCTTGAATTACCTTAAATTTATCATAAAGACAGTACCTTAAAATATCGTCATCGTTGTCGTTTTCACCACCACCATCATCATCAACATTGGCAAGACAACCCTTTTTGAGCTATGGCCTTAGAAGATTCTGCCACAGTTGTCAATTCTATCATAAATTAGACCATTCGGTTTTTGCGTCAGTATTCTTTGTTGCAGAGCAAGGTCATCAGCCTTGCATTGATCTCCCAACCTGGAGGACCAGGTCATTGTATTTATATACCCCAGGCACAGGGTGGCCCAGTTATACCCCCAGGCATCAGGTTCCCTTTTCGTCACCTTCTACAACTCGCAGGGCTCTAGTGGAGGTATTCTAACCTACCTCCACATAGGAATACACATTAGCCTCCATGATCCATTATGAGATGAGTGTAGTGTATGATAATAATTCAGGGAAGTGGCCATGTAAGTTTACTTTGGAAAGAAGTCAGTTTTTCTGAGGCTCGACCTGACTGAGATTCATGTTAGCAATGTACAAAATTACAGAGGCTTAAATGTAGCTTTGGTTACTTAATATGTAGTCAACACAGGGAAGTATCTGAATTAAAAATATAGTCACCATCATCAGTTTTCATCGATTTGTATAAATTGAGATTCACGTAAGTAACAATTTCTGCTTGATACCTGCATCATGCTGATTTCTTGCATAGCTTATTCTTTGACCTTGAAGATAAAGAAATTTTTACCAATTTGTTTATAAAAATGAGAACTTGTTTAATGTTCCTTGAACTAATTTTTACAGATCTTGAAGAAGTCTTCGATGCTAATATCTTCGGAGATACAATAACCGTGACACCAAAAGAGTCTTTTGGTAACACAGAATTTAGTGGCAATTTTGGAGTCCTAATTTTGGTGGTAAGGTATTTTATTCCTTAAAATAAATGTTTGTTATTTCTTTGACACAAACATATGATGTGATTTTGTACCCACCATACACTTATTTCACTGAAACACTTCTACCCACAATCCTAATACTTTCTCTACCAGAGGACTGTGATGTGTCATTGTAAATCGCATTCACCTTCACATGTAACTACTCTCACAAAGAAGTATGAAGAAATAGTATGTCTGAAACATACATATTCTGTTTAATAAGGCATTACTCTTAAGTGGCAATCTATTAATTTCCAAAGAACTTTTAATCCAATTTTAATAATTGATATCAGTACCAACTGGAAAAACAAGATGGACCGAATTAATGATATTTTAGAAGGGAAACTGGAATTAAAAGTTCTTTAAAGGTGTTAGAAGATGCATGATTACAGTCATTTGACAACATGTAAAGATTGAATAGCATAAGATTAATAAGGACGTTAGAATTAAAATGTGTAAGGCAATCTGTGGGATCACCCAGAAGAAGTGTGACGTGACAGTGGAGAAAATGAGCCGTAAGAGTTTAAAAAATAAATATATTATAGAAGAAGCTCCCCTCACACCCTATCAGATTTAAGTTTTCTTCATGCAGTGTGTTTTTAAAAGTTACTTGCTTTACAGTGCCCTCTGAATATGAGCTTTATTAGCTCAAAAGTTCAGACAAAATTTTATAAAGGTTGAAACACAAAATGGTGATTTTCTTAATAGTTTGATTGATTTTTATGAAATAATGATATTTCAGTCATATTTTTACAAATTTTGTTTAATATTCAGATGGATGTGTGGTTTTTTTTCGCACCATCATATTCACTTAGTGTGACATGTTGCAGTTAACACTGTGACTCTCAACAGGTACTTTCTTGATATTGCCTGTGAATTGGTAAATTTTAAGCATTTATATTCCAATATCTCTTTTTGACTAAAACATTAATAAAAAACTAAAGTTGATAGTCAAAATCCAAGTTTTTATCAGTTGGAGAATGATGTTAGTAAAAAGTAAAGCTATCCCTGTACCAGGCCGTGAAGGCCCATAGGGTTGTGAGATGTTGAGGGTCCCACATTATCTAGACAATCGGCTCAAAGATAGCGGTAAGGTTATCAGCCTTACGCGCCGGCCGTGCTTTACTCCCCAGGAAAATTATTTAATTAATTCCTGGTACTCATTTCTGTTAGAGGCTGATTCGACCCCAGGGCCATAGTGCGGCTGGAAGGATTAGGTCAATTGAAAGAAATGCAATGACCTCATCGGGACTTGAACCCGCAACCTTCTGGCTTGTAGTACACCTCATAATTACTTGGGTCCTATGTATAGAAGTGTGCTGTTTTTCTCTTGTATGTTTATTATGTATGGTAATAGGAACCTGGATTTTAACTGTTAACTTTAGTTTTTAATTAATATAATGAGGAACACTTTTACTACATTAATAGCAAGAGAGAAAATTTATTTTTTGCTTTCAATTTTATTTTTAACAATTATAATCAGTCATAAAAATCTTCTAGTGATATTCAACTTAATTATACTTATATCACAGATGAGTCTTGTGAACTGATCTATACAGTGAAGCACTGAACTTCCCATTATATTGAAACTGTGATTATTTATAGGCAAAGCACCGAGGTACTACCCGAACAGGAAAGACTGTGATCCATGTAACACTGCCAGCCAATTATGTGACAGCTCCACCAACAAGTAAGTAGAGATTTGAAGTACTGCTCAGGTGTTTAATCAGCTTTAATATGTGGAATTCTGATGATTAGAGAACAGAAAGTTTTGGGAAGACTTCCAAAGTTTGTGAAAATATAAATCATTATGTAATCTGCCAATATTGTTACAGTTTTTAACATGATATCCATAAATTAATGTCCATGATTGTAAGTACACTACACTGTCTGTCTGTTGTCTTTTGGCATGTTTAGTTCTCTTATCTGGTCAGGTTTCACATGTCATGTTGTTTCTGCTCCATTTTATTTTGCAAGAGATTCTGGTATATTAAAGGCAATTCCTGTATTGGATGTTTGTATATCTTCTTCACCTCTAAAAGACTATGCCAAGTAAAATAAATTAATTTCTGAATTTGTTGAGTTCCACCTTACTATTTGGAACACCTCATGTTCCAAGGATCCAAGTTTTGGTTTTCTATGATACCATATGAATTAATTTACTATCACTGTGACTGGTACCCTTTTTCCATAAAAATATTTCCAAATGAACATACGTGTATAAATTTATTATAAACCTTACCCCTCGTATTTTAATGCATCCTTTGCCAAAACTAAGTATGCTTTCTGATTAAATTAGTGTATTGTGAAATACTCCATAGTATTCCATATAATTACATAGGTCGTACCCAAAGTCATGATCACCTTTTTTTTGCATTCAACCTGGGAACAGCAGACGAAAGAGAGTATGGTGGTAGGTGGAACCAGCTGTTGTATTAACCTTGAGTGTCTTGTGACGATAATAGCTTGCATCACATGACCAGTATTACTCCTAACAAAATGACCGACAGCGATATGTCATTTTGCCAGCGTGCTGTCATCTAATTTCTTGTGAAAGAGGAAATCCCTGCTGCAGAAATTAACCAGAGACTTCAGCGTGCTTATGTGTGTGCATGGGTGCGAGCAGTGTTCGAAGATGGGTGAAACATTTTAAAGATGGGAACACCAGCATCGAAGATCAGCCTCGGAGCGGTCGTCCTCGAACAGCCTCAACTGAACGCAACAAGGAAAGAGTGGATGAGATCATTCAAGATGACGGGCGTGTGACTGTGGACACAATAGCCCAAAAACTTGGTATAGGTCACAGTGCAGTACAGGAGATGATTGGAAGCTTGGGCTATAGGAAAGTTTGTGTTCATTGGGTCCCGCAGTTATTGACCGAAGACTACAAAGGTCAGCAAAAAGTCATCACCTCAGAACTGCTGCAGAGATATCGACATGAAGGCAATGATTTTTTGCTCTGTATTGTGACAGGTGACAAAAGCTGGTTTCATCATTTCGAGCCTGAAACGAAACGGAACTGCAGAGTATGGAATGGCACC